AGGGGGCGAAGCGCGAAGCTCCGAAGCTACTAGCTTCACTTGCTTCAGAGCCCCGGGCGAAGCCACTTGCTTCATTTTTAGGGGGCGAAGCGCGAAGCTCCGAAGCTACTAGCTTCACTTGCTTCAGAGCCCCGGGCGAAGCCACTTGCTTCATTCGTAGGGGGCGAAGCGCGAAGCTCCGAAGCTACTAGCTTCACTTGCTTCAGGGCCCCGGGCGAAGCCACTTGCTTCATTCTTAGGGGGCGAAGCTCCGAAGCTATTAGCTTCACTTGCTTCAAAAGCTTCGGTCGATTTCCGAACCAAATGTGGCGGTCCCTCCTAAAATCTTTGAATACCGGCCCATAATCGCTAGTTGATATGGTTTGAGGTCGAGGGTTTTGTCCTGCATCAGCCGCACATGGATGACGTAAAGTTGTATTGGAATGTACTGGAGGCTTACGCTTGGCCAACGCCACACATCCCAAAGGACGTCGCACTGCAGTAACCTGATAAAGAAGCGCGTGCATAGACAACTCCAACTATCCGAAGCTCCAGCAGAAGTGACTGAATCACGAGGATTTGGGCTGAGGCAGTTACGTAAAAGTTCTTAGCGCCCTGAAACCTGAGCCCACATCCCTATGCATGTCAGGAGTACAGCCACCTGATGCCTGCAGGACAGCGTGTTTGCAAACCCCTTCGTTGCACCTGTGGCACCTACTGCCGAATCAGAGTGAAACCAACGTAGCTAGCCCCATAAGCAAGGTGCTTGCGAACAGGATGGCCGCATCTTGACGGACATGTGTCAAGGGCCATTATATAGAGGGAGAACACACAGCATCACTTGCGGTAGCAACGGCAGCTCCAGCTGCGAAGCTAAACTCCAAGCTGCTGAAGCGCCTCCTGTCCCGGCCTGGATCACGCTGAATCAGTTCTAGACCCTTTGCCCGTTCTGGGTAACAATACCATGCACCACACTTTTGGCCAGCAGGGGTTGTAGCGAGGGCGTCAGGGATGAGAGGGTTAGGTGAGTGATTGGGGCATCTTTGTGAAGATTCGTGCGACGAGAGCGTGTGCTGCGCAGCGCCATGCCTGAGTGCCCCCTAGCACCAGGTGTTGTTGCTTTTAACCGAAGCTGATTCGAGTATGTCCTGCTGTTATTGGACGTCTTTTTCTCCAGAAGGCCTAGGCTATGAAGACTAGCAAGCTGCGCATTAGTGAGGCTTTTCCACAAGCTCGGCCCAGCGTGCGCTTGTTGTATGTTTCATTCCCCCTGGCAGCCGTTGATGCAAAGCCGAGTTGTTCTGAATCACACGCTGGGGGACCGACACCTGGCAAAGTGTGCGCCTGAACAACTCAACTTTTCTTTGCAGCTCCCCTGTCAAAGAGTTTGCAGGTAGAGGGTTTCATCATATGAACATACACCTGATCGTGGAGCCGGTCGACCAAGTGTTTCTCAAACTAGGGTAACTTGAGGGATCCCTGGGAACTGCACACTTGTCTTGCCTCATGTCAGCAGCCAGAGCAAGCACGCCACAGGTGCTAGCTTGACATGATGCAGGTGTTGCCCTTTGTGCTCACCGCAGTGTATGGCATTGGTACCCAGAACGGGCAAAGGGTCTGGAACTGATTCAGGGTGATCCGGGCCGGGACGGGAGGGGCTTCAGCAGCTTGGAATTTAGCTTCGCAGCTGGAGCTGCCGTTGCTACCGCCAGCGATGGTGTGTTCTCCCTCTGTATAGTGGCCCTTGACACATTTCCGTCAAGAAGTGGCCATCTGTTCGCAAGCACCTTGCGTATGGGGCTTACGTTGGTTTCACTCTGATTCGGCAGTAGGTGCAACAGGTGCAGCGAAAGGGCTCGCGGCCATTCAGGACTCCGCGCTATCCTGCATTCATCAGGTGAGTAGCAGATAGGAATTTCCCATGTGCAGCTTGGCGCTTCCATGGGTGAATATTCAATCTTATCAACACTTGATAAGAAGAAAACCATGGCATCTAAGCTGTCAACCCTTCTAAACCCACCCATTTTCGAAGATTCACATGGCACGAAGTCAGGTTGTCGTTCTGGACCGATCAGAAAGTCCTGCAGTTTGAGCAAGAAGGACGCGGCGTATTAGCGGCCAGGGTTTAGGGTTTGGATCATGGGCAGGGCTAAGGGGTTTGCAGTAGTCTGGACGACGATATTGCAGTCTCCTCCTCAAGTCTTTGTCCCAGATCCGCGTAGCAGCAAGATGTTTCCTTCCCAATAGATCGGGCAAGACAATTTCCTGACTAATAGACAATTCTGAAAAATTAGTTAAAATCCTGACTATTAGTCAAAACTGTGGGCAAGTTTTTAAGGCTATTTTATGGGTTAAATCAAAAGTTAATTCTGAAGGTAAAATGCGATTTGTCTGTCAAATAGTCTGCAAAATTAGTAGAAGAGGATGATAAAGGTGATAATTTTTTCAACATGAAAATG